TAATCATAAATGTGTGTGTATGTATGGCCATTTATGCCTTTGGGAGTATGAAGACGCCCCGAAAGTGTTTGCCTTTAATTCGTTTAAATGTACGACACGTTTGTCAAAAAAAAACACACTCAAACTGATACCCTGTAGTACAAAATACATAATAGGTATACAAGAGTGCTAGGCGAACAGAAATAGCATAAAGTATAAAAACATAGATATACTCTCTAAGAAAGCTCTCTATGACCATAAAAAAGAGTTTATAGGGTATATGCAGACATGCATAGCAGTGTATGCTTTCTTGCATATTTGTTTTATTATAATAATATGTCAATTCTAGTTACACTAGCTACACATATATTAATTATGTATTCATTTCATTATAGTCAACTTATTTACAGGATATTTTGTAGTCCAGCATTGTCAATTAACCGTGCTTGATTTGTTTTCCCATCAAAGTGTTGGCAGTCGTATTTGTTCGGCCATAACTACCTCTTGAGAGGCAGACTTCCTACGCATTTGATTATTTTAAGTGAATAAGTCGCTTGATAAACATTGTGAAAGTTGTATTTGTGAAAGTTGTAGAAATCTTTTCATGTTTTCAAAGGGAACATTTTTGAGCTGTTAGCGAACTTACCTCAAATGTCCTTTCGCAAAAAATATCCCAGACACATTGGTTAAAGTATTGGATAGATTATCTTCTTAGTTTCGAAGTCAACAGTTGTTCATAATCTTTTCGAGCTCAACAGTTGTGCCACCGAACGCTCCCTACGTAACATTTTCATGTGCGTTCACCTTGCTCAACAGTTACGTAACACTTTGCGGGCAACACAATTTCAATTCAATGTAGCTCACTCTCTTGACCTTATAATTGTTATATTTAGATAATAAAATATGTTGATGCTTTCAAATGAATAATTCTTAAGCTCTTACCGAAACTGTATCAAATATTGTTTTCTATAAAATATCTGACACATCGGTTTGAGTATTGGATAACATTTTCGAACTCAACAGTTGGGCTACTGAACGCTCTCTACGTGGCGTTTACATGTGCGCTCTATTTGTGCAACAGTTGCGCAACACGTTAAGCACTCAACACAATATCCGTTATCTAACCAAGCAACCGCCATCTGGCGGTAGCTCTTTTAGATTTTACTAGATGTCGCTTTCGCTAATTTTACGCGCAAATTTTAACTCTTCTAAATATGAGTATATAAAGGCATTTAACTCTATAAATATTGATGACCATTTATTCTTAAGATACGTCGGATTGGGAAACAAAAAGAATGGGACAAGCTGTGCTGGTGGCTATTCCAAATGTTTACAGGCCATGTTTGGCCATGGCATCGGTTATCCACTGCACATAGTCGGCCACATTGGTGTAGAGACCCGGCAGGCTGATCTGACCGCAGGATGTCACGCCCATGCTTACGATGCCAAACTCCACCATGCGCACCTTGTACTCGTCCAGGTAGGGAGCGGGCGCCTGCAGCGGGCCACCAGAGTCGCCTTTGCACGAGTCCTGCAAGTCGCCACCGCCAACGCAGAGCTGCGTGTGGGGCACCTCCCGGCGATAGGTCTGTGAGCAGACCGATCTGGACTGCATGGGCACCTTGGCCTGCAGCAACACATCCGACGAAGAGCCGTTCTCGGTGGTGCCCCAGCCCGTGACGAAATAATCCGGCAGAGACTCCGCCTGCTGTTTCAGCTCGTTACTGATGGGCAGACAGATGGGCTTAATATGCTCTGCAAGGGATGAGTTTGATTAGCTAACGAAGACGGCTCATGTCCAGCTCCTCACTCACTTTCAAAGGGGACGCTCTCGTTCAGACGCAGCAGCGCGATGTCATTGATGATGTGCTTTGAATCGTATTTATCGTGTATAATGAACTTCTCAATGCCCAGATCCTTGACGGGCGGGGCGCACTTCTCCCTACGCCCCTGCTGCCGGCAGTCCCTCTCAGTAGAGATGCGATGCTCGCCCAAGCGAATTTCATAGCTGCAAACGGACAAATTGAGATTGAGAAAATTGTTCTGAGTGGAGGAAATTTGATACCCACAGCTGATCCTCCAGTCCATAGACGCAATGGGCTGCAGTTAAAATATAGCCTGCAAATTATTAACAAATTATTTTGGAAGTCTTTCAACTAAATACGATCTCTGCTTACGGTTGGCAATGATTGTGCCGCCACATAGGAAACGAGATTCGCCCAAGCTGTGGTATCGCAGCAAAGCCATCCAGGGCCTGGAGGACAGCTTCACCTCGTAGCCGTTGGCCACGCGCTGATTGAGAATGTTGCCGCAGTTGAAGTCGGCGCTCCTAAATAGCTCCATGACCTTGGAATTGTGCTGGATCTGCGGCGTAGGACAGCAAAAGTGGCGCTAAAAATAGGATCAAAGTTGAAATTAAKCTATATATATATATCTGTCTCTATGTAGTCTTAAGCATACCACTCCATCGATCTCGCCACATGATGCCTTCTGCAAATAGCTGGCATACTCCGGCGACACACGCTGCCCGCTCTGCTGGGCAGCCAAGAGGCGCTGCTCGATATCCGAGCAGGAGGAGAACGGCATGCACTGGCCCCGCTCCCCGTTCGGGGTGTCGCAGTCATCCGCATAGGCTATGCAAGCGTCAATGTGCACAAGCAATTAATATGTAAAACAAAAACGGGTCGTACGAAGTTTTCTATCTCACCTGTTCGAGCGTAACGGGCGCCCATCAAGCAGACAGTCGCAACGACGACTGCGAAGAGCAACCAGCGGCGCAGCATCTCAGTAGAATGCGATCAACACTAGATGGAGGAAGCAGCGACCTGATAACCAGCCAAACGAACGCTCCAATTGCTACTGTGCGCAGCGCGCTCCGAGCACTCGTTTTATAAGGCGACCCTGGCTCGAAGTGAGCTCAGTCCGCTTCCAAGCTCAGCTCAACGCGCTCAATCAAGAATCCAGAATGGAGAGTGGAGAACGTGGAATGGAGAGTCGAGAGCTGAGCACAAATGTGGTTTTTCCCCAGCGCGGGTCGCTATTCCTATCAAACTCTTTGGGTTCCTCTCATTTCGAAATATATATAAATATATTCACATAGATTGAAAAATATAAGCATCTACGTATTTATCAAGCATCTTCTCATATACTGATTATTCAAGAGTCTATCGGACTCTGTTTACACATTCGCACTCTGCTATAAATATGATTAATTTCGTTGGGTCTATTCGACGGGCAGTTACCCTGCTAGAAGTTTTTATTTATATTCATGACTCATTTGCTTTCGACTTACGATCAGATTCAAAAGGAATTAATATTTCTCAGGTTGACACAAGCTTAAAGACAAAAAGCTGAAATACCCTCTAAATATTAACAATAAATACAGGGTAATAAAATATATTTAAATATTCAAGCTTATGCTTGGCCTCATCTCAAACAACTCTCTAAGAATTCATATGGCTATGGCTCATCGGTCAGAGAGAGGGAGAGACAGAGAGAGTGGGAGAGAGAGAGAGAGAGAGAGAGAGAGAGAGAGAGAGAGATAGAAACAGCGCGAGAGCAACTGGAAGGTTAAAATTAATAAGCTTGCCTTTATTTTTTGCAACTACGAAGGAATCGAAAATTTAGATTTCATAGAATTATTGATTCAATTTTAAAATCGTAATGTTGAATCACGTCAAATTATTATTATTCAATTAAATTTTTATGATGTTCGCTCTTCGATTCTTCCGTAGTTGCGAAAATTTATTCGTTTGAATAAAATACCCGAAAATTTAAGAAAGCCCTATGAACAAATGTCAGCCAAACAATCCCAAGTGAAATATTTCCTTTCCGGGAAATACCGCTTAACGTTAGCATTTTCCCTGAATTAACAAACATAATCATTTATGGAATAATGAGAAATTGAACCAACGATAAGTCGACTAAAAGTATTTAAACTAATTGTTCGCCTAGAATTAACCCATCAATTTATCGACGGGAAATACAAAAAGCTCTTATGAAAATAATTAAAATAATAGTTCGTCATTTATTGTGTTTTCTTATCAATGTTAATTGAAACATTTCAAATTTAACTTCTGTAGTTGTGTATTTTTATTGTTAATCGCACTTCTGCGGGTCAATTGTACAATTGTTTGGAGATGATTCCATCATATTTAAACATAATTATAGTTTGTATAACTAAAACTGATTTATGCTTTTTTTTTTTCTTTTGTTGTAACGATAAATTATAACAAGTCTATTTAATAATAAATATCAGACATGGATAAATGAAAATCATTATTTATATAGACATATATAAATATGTATATAATTTTTATATTATATGCATACACATATACGCTATATATATTAAATAAAAACTTTTAACTTATATTGTTAACTATTAGTTTAAGAGTTAATGCTTTAGCTCAGCGGCAGCTGTTTAACTTTCGTTAAGGGATGGGCAGAATCTCACCGTTCTGCTGTCTAATTTTGCCAATGGTTCTATGCGGTCGGTGTGGGTTGGGTAATTTATAAGATTTCTTCGTTTTCTATATTTCAACGAAAGGGAAAGAGCAATAGATCAATATCAATCAATGTTGCACTTTTTATATTAAATTGATAAAGCAGAGATTTTCGTAACGCGCTTCGTGCCGCTTTTATAAGTAAAAATACATTAAAAAGCAGTAAAGAGAGGGTTAAAGAGAGATTTAAAGATGGTAAGAGTTAAACCATAATAAAGCCAAAAGGAATATTAATATCCAGCAAGCCACGTAAACTTAGTTTCATACGTAAGATAGGTAAGTTAATAATAACAAAGCAGTTAGTAAATTAAGTGGGATCGCATTCATCGCAGCATACAAATTAACACAATTATTTACACAAATAAAAACATTCTTTCAACTCATTTATCATAATCTACGATTTAGAACATATCGAGAATACACAGAAGTCTTTGTCGCACATGTCGCTTGGCTAACTACTACAGCTCGAATCTATGACTAACAATTAATATGAGTAGTTAAATAACAATGTTCAGATTTGCTTGTTGCTTTTGCTTGTTTTAGTCACCAATGGAGAGCTGTAGAGCTCTAGAGCCGTACGCCGGCAGTTCTTGAATTTAGTGATTGAATCAATAATATGTCGATAGTGTGAGCCATTGCAGAAAGTTTGCTTGATTAGTGTTTGGTGCTGTTGGTGGTCGCTTAGAAGTAGTAGTAGTAGTAGTGGTAGTGGTAGTAGTTCGAAGAGTGGGTTAGAATGCAATACAGAAGTGCCATCAAACGATGAGCCAATAGAACTGAACGATTTTCTTATTTAATAGCGGCAATTAGCGGACTCTCTGCGCCTAAAAGGGGAATAGAAAGAAAAAAGAAATGTTAATCACTTTTTTTTCCATAGAGTTTTGTGGGCACTAATTCACGAGTCTTGATATATGGCATGCGTGGCCAGGTCCAGGTCACAGGCATCGAGCTCTCATAGTTGAAGTTGTACAGTTGATCCTCCAGCCACTTGCGCTTGTCCTGCGGCTCTGGGTATGTGGATGCCAATCCTAATCAAATTGTAATCAAATTCCATTAGGCCATAGAAGCAAACAGGTAAACGCAAAACATACCCTTGTCATAAGCACACTTGGTCACACCAATGGCAATATTCATGGACACATCGCGGATGCTCGACAGTGGTGGGTACAATGAGCCACGCTCGATATCAGTGGGTTCTACGAAGTTGGCCAGCTCCTGGGCGGCAATAAGGAACATATCATCGGGTATATGATGGGTGCCAGTGCAGATGACGCCCAGACCCACGCCAGGGAAAATGTATGCATTATTACCCTGGCCGGGATAGTAGGTCTTGTTGCCCATTGTCACCGGTGGGAAGGGCGAGCCCGATGAGAAGATTACGCGAGCCTAAAAAAGCGAATAAACTGAGATACATAAAGACATATTAAAACCACAAAAACTCACATCCGTATTCTGATAGGCCTCCTCAGCTGTGCATTCCGCCTTGCTGGTTGGATTAGACAGCGCAAAAATGATGGGCCTTTCGTTGTTTTCGCCCATGGTGCGCAGAATCTTGGGCGTGAACAGACCGGCACAAGCTGAAGCACCAATTAGCACCTGTGCAACAAAAATGCGGATGAACGTATGAATTTTATATGCAATACAAATAAGACTTACACTTGGCTTAAGTGTGGACACAATTTGCTCGAGATCAGCCATAGGTTCAATGTCCTTAGCATAGTTGACTTTGTGACCGTCCAAGCTGCCCACCTTGCGCGTTTTGGTCAACAGGCCATCAATATCAACCATGAAAATTCTACTATAGGCCTCATCGATGGGCACACCTTCGGCAACCATGCCCTTCACGACGAGATCGGCAATGCCGATGGCAGCCTCGCCGGCGCCAGCGAATAGGAAAGTGTAGTCCTTCAAGGACTTGCCCGTGATACGCTTGGATGCGTACAATCCAGCCACAGCGACGGCAGCTGTTCCCTGTATGTCATCGTTAAAGGTGCAGTAGTTGTTGCGGTACTTGTCTAAGAATCTAAATGCATTATGATTGCCAAAGTCCTCGAATTGGATGAGGGTATTCTGGCCATATCGCTTCACAACTGCCTCCATGAACTCATCAATAAAATCGTCGTATTCCCGTCCCACGACTCGCTTCTGCCGCAGGCCCACGTACAGCGGATCTTCCAACAGATCTATATTGTTGGTTCCAACGTCCACCACAATGGGCAGGCACTGATGCGGCTTAATGCCCGCCAGCGCCGTGTACAGAGCCAGTTTGCCAACTGGAATGCCCATGCCACAGGCGCCTAGATCTCCCAGACCCAGAATACGTTCGCCGTCAGTTACGCAGATGGCACGCACATTCGGCTCGGGCCAGTTCTTCATCACATCAAAGATGTGACCGCGATCGTTGAATGTGACGAAGAGGCCATGCGGACGTCTATAGATCAGGCCAAAACGCTGGCAAGCCAGGCCAACTGTCGGCGTATAGACAATTGGCATCAGATCCTCAATGTTCTCCGACAAGAAGCGGAAGAACAGACGCTCATTGCGATCGTGCAGATCGCTCAGATACAGATACTTATTCAACGGTTCTGTATAGCGATTCACTGCAATCTTGCACAGCTGCAGCTGTTCCTCCTGGGTCTTGAAACGTGCCGGCTGCAGTCCATGAATACCCAGCACCTGACGCTCCTCCAGTGTAAAGGCCAAGCCCTGTCGAGGGAGTGTAAAAGCTACACATGTATATCTGCATCACAGTCGGAGGCCCAATTGCACTGGCACTTACCTTATTCAAGCGAGGATCGCGTATGTGATCGATGCCGCGCACCTGCGAGGGGCATATAATGTCGCCGACAACCTCATGGTAGCCACGGGCATCGCTCAGCGCCAGCGCCGATAATGCTGGCAATGTTGTTGGTGCGCTTATTGCTGCGGCAGTTCCACTGCGACACAGCCTACCGAGATTTCCGCACAAGCTGCAACAAAAACAAAAACAATATTTATTACTGTGATGCAACGTCACGAAAATTCAAGTTCAAGGTTAGCGTCAGCTGTTTTAGATACTGCTTAGAATCGAACTAGAGGAATGCTCAACCAACTACGACAATCTATTATCATTACTCTATCAACGGAATTCTGAATGAGTATAGACGCACAACAACACACCGAAATACCCGGACCCGGGAAAACCCTTAGTACCGGTAAAACCATGTATTCTCTCTTTTTACTGCAAAAAAAAAAAAAAAAAAAAAAAAAAAAGCACTACAATATCTAAATATTATCATATCAATGGACTTAATGAATATAAAGTATATTGTATATTATATTAATCTTATAGAAATAAGATAAGAAATTAGTGTATTGTTTGCGGTATGAAGTGTTTTCCAACCACAGGGTATCTTAAAGTCAAGCACACTTGAACTATGCCCAATCTAGTTTGCCATTTATCAGAGTGGTGCAAAAACTAAGCCGCATTGTTTACGATCGCACGATAAGACTCCGAATGCTAGCATATGACGAGGGTACCAAACATGTTGGCCGTTTTCATTCTGGGAGATTTAGCATAATTGGCGCTAATTGCGTACACCTTGTGACTAAGTTCATTCATTGATGGGTATGCCCATCAGTGGGATTACGGCTGCCGCATTAGCTAGCAGCAAACCCGTTAATGACGCGCCTACAGTTCCACGCGCTCGTGACGTGTTGGCCCGAAGTGCGGTCTAAGCACTACACTCACTGCTAATTAACAGACGGGCGTAAGGGGCTGGCATGGAAGGGGGAAGTGGGCATGGTCTGGTATCATTATCATCATTCGTCATTTTGTTTCTATTTGCTCAGCCAAACGCCCAGCAGCTCACATGAGCACCAAGTGCTTTTTATTCGCATATATATACATATGTATGTATGTATATCCACATATGTTATATCTAATCACTCATACAATTGTAAGTGCATGTCGTAAACATTTCCGTATTTGAAACGAGGTTCATACGGCACGCACATTATCTCAAAATCGTTTGATATTACGATATGACCAAATAGCATGAGCTAATGTGACTTACAAACCTATGATATCATTCATTGCTTTAGACCAAACATACTATATGTTTGGTATATTATATATACCAAATGTTGGAGTGATGGCGTCGCCGATAAGTAAAAGACCGGCTTGTAGTTTCCTCGTCTTTATTTGTAGATTAGAGCTGTGTCGCTCGTATAGTATTGTGAATATATAGTTGTATCGAAATGTCAGTACCAGGAGAGGCAAGTGACAAGTGTGTGAGAGGAAGTACTCAGCAGTACACAACAGAATGCTGTTAATAACATAACATTGTGTGGTGCGGGAGGAGCAATTCTTGTTAATGAGATTTGGCATTAACAGTATCTATTTTTATTTTTATTCTATTCTATTCTATTTATATTTATTGCAATTAATTATTGACTATTAGAAATAATTTTATATTTAATCAAACTATTTAAAATATAATTAAATTACTTTGCATAAAAAAAAATCAAAAATTTATTTACTCATAATATAAACTCTATTATAAATTTAGAAGAGGAAATACTTTTTCTAAAATGTTTATTTTCTTTGTAAAAAAATTTCATGAATAATTAAAGCCTAATATAGAGAAATATAGGGAATAGTATATGAATACAATTACAAAAAAAAAAAAAAAAAAAAATTATTTAAATCTATTTCAATGCAACTTTATGATGGTCAAATGTCTCGTATAAACGTAGTATATATTTACGCGCAATACAGTCATATCCCGATATGATATCAAAAATAAAATGTTTGTGTAAACAGCTTATGTCAAGCATGTATGTGTGTGTGTGTGCATGAAATGCCAAATTTACTGCTGATGGGCCAAGCTGCATACATACATACATACACAAACAGAAAGATAAGTACATACATACATATGTATTTTCGCTCGAAAGTCACAAAGTTCTGCGTGAAGGCAATAATCAAATGGAAGTCAATGTACTCTAATATGTTTGGCCATAAAAACTATGCGCAAAAGAGAAAAAAGCGAAGCAGTAGAGAGAAATAGCCGATGAGAGGCTGCGTAACAAAGACTAACAACTTTTGAACTTGGCAGCGAAAAAAGAGGCAAAATGATGAACAGCAAAGAAAAAACAAAATAATGCTACTTTTCTTCTTTTCATTTATGTATATTGCTTTATACAGAAATGCGTCGTGCTAAAAATGTTTATAAATTTAGAATTTGGCAATAGAAGCGTGGAATATACATATACATATGTGCGCATGTATGTGTGTATTTATGTATAGCTGTGTCCATGTCCATGAACGTGAAGGTGGCCAATACAAAGGCAAGAACGGATGCGTTGGTGTAGGGGAAAGCACACATACACACACATGCATATGTTTATTGTTTGTATATTGATTTTCAGCTGTTTTGTTTCGTGTGTGTGCGTCTGTCTGTGAAATTGCCGCTTTTATATTTATTTTCATTTATATTATGTTTTACCTACTTTTTTGCAATTTGAGGTGTAAGCTCTTACGCAACAAGGAAAATAATAGAGAGCAGTTGCAGCTTGACAGCTGTTGCAGAAAACTAACGAAAACCAGAAAAGTTGGGTCAATGTCAGAAACATGTGCGATTCCTAGCCTGCCCTCACCAATACCAATAGAGTTGTGCCTGCGATAGTTTGTCTGCGGCTGTGTATGTGTGAGGATGTGTGTGTGTATTGGCAGTACCATTGAAAACGAAAGCTGCGCAATGCATACAGATTGCTGTGCTGAGGGTGCTAGAGGAGGGGGGCCTTGGCGCACGCTCGTCTACCACGGCAACGACTAGGTCACTGAGAAGAACAGCTGGGACGCGGGCCGAATGGCTGACAGTTGAAATTGCATAACGTTTCGTCAATTTGCAAATTTACCAAAAATAGCTGCAAGCATTTCCAATTTCTTTGGCAATACGATGCCAATGCCCACCTGGTTTCTTGATATGAACAGTTTTCGTTGACGTAGCTTACCTGGGCCGTGAGAACATTTTGCGTTTCTGCTTCTAGAATTTTGTGTGTTTCTTGAATTGCTTTTTTATTGTTAACTTTTGGAGGATTTATTGCAACTATTTTTTCTGTTTTGACACTTATCACTAGGTAATAATACTTTTCGTTACGCTCAGCTTTTAAATTACATTTGAAACACACGACAATTACGAGCCAGCCACCCTTAATGAGGCCCAACAAACAAAACTGAATATTCAACGCGGCGCGGGCAAAACTACCTCGCGAAGCTGTCGGCGAATAATGAACGAATAATGCCAAAGACGACAAAACGAACCAAATGGAGAGCAGTAGAAACTTGCGCGGCAGTGATTAAATAGAGTGTTGGTAAAGGCGTGCAGATGCACAGTGCTGCCGTATTTATTTGGTTGACTATCGATGACTATCGTTATTTATCAATTTGAAACGAAGAGGAACACAAAAGCTTCCACCTGTTCACTACTTTATTTTCAATTTCTATATTGCGAGAGTGAGATTACAATAGTTAAGGGTATGCTTATAATCTTCGGTATAAATTGCATTCCGCCTGACACGTAGCTTTGCATGGACACAGTACTGTCCCCTAAATCTGGATTCATTTTCAAATCAATCGATTCAAATGTATAGAGTGCGCGAAAACCATTGGCCACAAATCGGTCATTCGAATAAAAGGATACACGAAAGAATCGTCCATCTGAACGCACTTCAAAGTCGGGTAATTTTCCACAATACTTGCTGAACTTTCGATCTGTACTCATGAAATTCGAAAATTCCACATAGTCGCTAGCCGTGTGATGGTCACATCTAAAAAACAGAAATACTAATAAATAACTTAAAATTACTATAACTTTAAACATACGTGCTAATGCCTTCGACGTCAAAGTACGTGAAACGCAGAACAACGCGTTCATCAGCTCCATAGAAATAGTAATTGCAAACAACATTCTCCAGATAATAGCCAGGAAAGTTTGGGGAATGAAATAGACCACTAATCCTGTCGCGGCTGTTGTAAACAAATGTGCATTCGTTTCCTTGCTGCACGCCTGATAAAATGCCATAGTCTAAAGACAATAAAATTGTTAAACATTTTTTAAATACGTTTCACCTGCACCGTGAAAGCCTTACTTGTAAGAAAGCGGTATTCTGCTCGAAATCCATAATACTGCACTTTGTTTGTCATTTTTGGCGGATATTTGCCCACGAATTGCAATTGCAGCTGCTGACTGTTCGACATCAGCGGCTTGGGCAAGAATGCGCCACAGAGTAGTTCTTGCGTCTCATATTTACCCCCCACTTCTGTCAGCACATGCAATGCGTCCTCGTCCCGGCAGCGGCTGGAATTCTCATGTTCAGTGGGTATGTTAAAGTCGTGAAACTTAATTTGAATCACTTCTGGTTTTTGCGCTTTAAATTCGTAACGGCATTGCACGACCTTAGCAGAGTCGCTGTTCTTATTTATCGGAACACCGATAAGCGAACTCAGCAGCTGATTCGATTCGAAGATGCCGGACTTGTTGACGCGCGAGTCGTAGAGCAGCTTGCAATGCTCTGAAAGTAAAGATAAAGCGTAATAATAGAAGTATTATAATATATGCTGAAACTGTTAGCCAACAATTGTCGTATAGCAAACATTTCTCGAATTTGGACAAGAACCATGGGCAGCAAACATGTAGAGAATGAAGACAACAAGCTGGACACATTTCGACGCGTCTGTGATGAAATAGCAGCTGAGTCGAGCTACCTACGCAAGGTTGAGAAACTGGAGCTCTTTTTCAAGAAAGGAAGCAGTGGTGACGGATTTCAGGGCGACCTGTTGCAGTGGGTGCAGTTTCTCATACCAGACTCCACACAACGTGTTTATAATTTGCAAAACAAGGCGTTGCTCAAGTTGTTCGCACGCATCTTCCATGTCGACCAGCAGGAAATGCATCTGGACTTGGAACAAGGTAATCAGCACTTGGCACCTGTTTAGAAACCTTTCTAAGATTGCTATTTTTTTTTGCAGATGGAGACATTTCCGAAACCCTTCGCAAACACTTTGCCACCTCCAGCAAACTGAAGCCACAAACCCAAAGTAGACTCTACTTACATGAGGTGGAAAAGATGCTGTGTCAGCTGGAGCAGCGCACAAAGGAGGATGAGCAAACGGAAGTTTTGCAAAAGTTGTGTAAGCAGGCTACAGATTTAGATTTGCGCACGTTCATCAGGCTGATCAAACAGGATCTGCGAATTAATGCACGGGCACGGCATATTCTGGATGCATTTGGACCACAGGCATATCCAGCGTATCAGAGCTCTCGAGACCTCGCAGCTATTGTACAGAATTTTGCTGGCAAGGAAGGCACGTCTCTCAAAACTCCTATAAAGACGACAGCAAAAAAGGCGAAGAAGGAAACTAGTGCTATTCAGGTAATGACGCCCATTTCGCCCATGCTGGCCAATGCCTGCAAGTCTGTAGAGGAAGCGTTCAAAAAGAATCCCGGCGGCCTATATAGCGAGATCAAATATGATGGCGAAAGAGTACAAATTCACAAAAAGGGCGCCGAATTCAAGTTTTTCAGTAGAAATCTGAAGCCAGTGATGGATCACAAAATCAAGGACCTAAAGGATTATATACCACGCGCCTTTCCTGGTGCCGGTGATATGATACTTGATTCAGAAATCATTCTGGTGGACACAGAAACGGGCGCTTTGCTTCCCTTTGGCACATTGGGTGCGCACAAGAAGCATACCTATGCCAATGCCTCGATTTGCCTCTTTGTTTTTGACTGCTTGCTCTATGATGGCGATGATCTGACCCAGCTGTAAGTAGAAAGCTAACGATATTGCACTATAAAGCTAGTGTTAATAATATGTTTTAGTGCATTTTGCAAACGTCGCGAGATTCTAGAGCAAAACATTCAACCCATCAAGTCCCATGTGCAACTGTCCGAATCGGAGTTCTTGAAGACCAAAAACGAGTTGGCACTGATGACCGCTAAGGTGCTTCAAGCCAATCTGGAGGGTGTTGTGCTCAAGAGTCCCAGCAGCACATATCAGCCGGGCAAACGTAACTGGCTCAAAGTAAAAAAGGATTATCTTTTTGGGGGAAAAATGGCAGACACAGCCGATTTGGTTGTTCTGGGCGCTTGGTATGGCTCGGGCAAGAAGGGCGGTGTACTCAGCATCTTTCTAATGGGCTGTTATGATGCACGCGACCATCTCTGGAAGACGGTTACCAAAGTGCACTCTGGCCTCGATGATGCCACCAACGATGAGATCCATGAATCACTGATGAAACTCACAGAGCGCGCCGATGCGAATAAAATTCCTCATTGGCTACATTGCAAAAAATCACTGATACCCGATGTGCTAGCCAAGACGCCGGAGAAAATGCCAGTGTGGGAAATAACGGGCGCAGAGTTCACACAATCGGAGGCGCACACTGCAGGCGGCATTTCTATTCGCTTTCCGCGCATCACGCGTCTGCGCAGCGACAAATGTGCCAAAGAAGCTAATGATCTGGCACATCTGGAACAGCTTTATGCAGCATCTAAAAACAATGTGAACGTGGATCTGCTGCTGGCCAATTGTAATGCGGACAGTGATGACGCCCAGCCCAATGGACTAAACCTGGAAAAGACGCCGCAAAAAGGCAAGTGTTCCAAGGAAACGGCAAGCAGTAGCAAGAAAGGTAAAAGATCCAAGAGCGGCGGCTCTGATGATGAGCAAGCAACACCATCAAAGGGTCCACGAAAAATGGCCAAGATGGAACCGTCCCCAGCGGCATCTAAAGGAAGTCTGATGGATTTCTTCAAACCAAAGAAAGCAACACCCGTTGTAAAAGTAGAAAGTAAATCATCCGAAGATCTTATAGCGGAAGATAAGAGCGAGGATAGTAATTTATTTAGAGGCCAGGTTGCATACTTTGCAGCGGATGCGGCGCAATCCAAGCACAAGGATGCATTCATACGAAATGGTGGCATCTTGACTGAAAATTCAAGGGAGGCTACATTAGTATTCCATAACACAACAAAAAATGTAGATTTGGCGGAACTGAGGTACGAATAATGATATTTCCTTAACTACTCTATAAAATTAATATTGGATAATATAATAATATTTTGCAGACCCCTCTACCGTCGCAGCTGCCGTCATCTCAACGTGAAATGGCTTGAGGAATCGGTACAGGCCAAGAAACTGCAGCCGTATCCGCTCTATGCGTTGGTTTTAAAGGCTTAGCATTGCTGTTTAGTTATTGTTGAAATCTTTTCAAATTGTAAATTTATGTATATTTAAATTATGGAAATAAGACGCAATATTTATTATTCTCAACTTCCATTCTGCAGTTTTGCATTCTATACATTTAGAAATTGAAAATTTGTAGATGCAATTAACTCAATTCAACTCTGTTTCATTGCTTACTTAGTCTACGTCAGTGCAAAGGCACATATTAGCTGACGAGTATTTGTGGGTAAATATTTTCGTAGTACCACGTACTTTGTGCAATAGTTAAAAACGGAACTTTAGATAAAAACAATGTCTTTTTGAATATTATTCGCACAAATTACATCACTTTTATCACAAAAACAAGTAAGATAACTCTACTCGAGTGCTCCACTTAACACCAAATGATTTGAGGTCACGAACCAATATATGCATATATATGCTCGTCGACTCGTCCCAACGTCATTGCTAGAGAGCCATATAGGAAATTTAAAGTAGCAGCTGGGAATTCTAACAATTATCAGAATTCCGACTGATTAAGATTTTATATTTCTTTTTAATTAACAGATTTAAATGAAACGTTTAGTATAAATCTGCATATTTAATTAAATATTTGACGTAATTAAAAAATGGCTTACCTTCGAGAGGAATTCAATTGTATAAAATATACATAAATCTAAAATTATATACAGGAGACAAACATGCAAACCAGACTTTTGCCTTCATTTTTAATAAACAAATAGAATGAATAATAAAAAGAAAAATTTTTGGGGAAACAGAGGCAACTACAAAACAAATCATCTCAAGAATAAGCTGTATTAGCATTACGCACTGATATTGCACTTGGTAAACTGGATAACCCTTTGAGCTACTTAATGGAACGTGTCGACAACGTTTTGTACTTATCTAAGCTGTCAGTTCAGCCAGTAATCAATGGTTTGGATGCGTTAAATTTTAAATACGGAAATTTCGTATTCGTAAATTGTCAACCACTTACAATGCAGGCTTTTAGCTACTTCAAAGTCTGAGTTCTCGACTGCCAAGAGACTGACTGCAAGTGTATATAAATAATATGTGGTTCCTTCGATTATATCATATAGTACTTCCAATCCGACTGGTTCATTACAAAACCCATCAACTGTGCAATTTCGTTTTTGGTATAAATATCGTAAGCCCGTTCTGAGCTACCCTCATTCAAGCGGCAGCCTCGACTGCATTAACTTCTTTTCGCACTACAAAATCTCCGCTTTCCTTCGGTACTTGTGTTGTGCTATTGAAAGATGGATAGTGAATACGAAATGACATCCGAAATTCAAAACTTTTACAGAAATAAAACAGTTTTTATTACTGGCGGCAGCGGATTTTTGGGGAAAGGTATTCGAAATTTACTGTGGAAAATTTGTAAATAAGTGATTTGTGATTGAACAATTTGTAATCGCATAATATATTGAAATTTAAAATGTGAAATGGAAATAACTTTTAAAGAATTTCTAGGAAAAACGTGAAAAAATGTATATTCTTGATTAATAAGGAAATATTGAACAATTTTTGAGCAGCTTCTCTCTAAATCAATCAAACTAAAATTAACGCGCCTGGTTGTACCTACGAAAAAAGGCATAAATATCCCTAAGTATAATCAATAATATTGGAGTGCAAAACAATACCTAAACTTTGTACTCATTAAAATTTGTATAATGGTTTAACAAAATCTATTAATAAATGAAAAAGAAAAGTACTGGATTGCACTTAGTCTTTCGTAACTATTAACATGGAATTCTAACAATAACGCAACTGAATCAGATCTATGCATAATCTATTGTATCAAAACAAAAGTTCTAGTGCTAGAAACCAGTTTCTAATGAGGAAATAAGCAAAACTAATCGTGTCTAAATTATTTGTTCATATATGTACATTTGCAAGTGTTAATATTTGGAGTATGAGTATAAGTAGTGCCTCTCATACCATTTTCGTTGAATTGTCGGGTATTCTTGGTTTCTTACCAATTTGGGAGATGCCATAATTATAGCGTGAGCCCATTGACCAACTTGAATACTAATTTCATTTTGCTTCTGTGAGAATGTATGTAATCAGTATGTCGAATCGATAATGATTTTTTCGTATGAGTACGGTTGTACCCTGCATATGAATTCAGAAATATCATAAGCAACAAGACTTTAAATTTGATATATGTACATATTCAAGTATTCTCGATACCTATATATCGTAGATAAAAAATTGATATTTTTAAATGGTTAACAAAGTTACACCTGTATTACGTTAATCGTAATTATTCAGTCCTTAACAAAATTTATTTAATTAAATCTTTATATGAAACATTTATGTTAATAAAGTTGAAGCTAAGACAGAGTTTTGATTGCTATTCGTGGTTTCCCTTTTAGTGGTAATTGAGAAGCTGCTGCGAGCGACAGATGTCAAACGCATCTATGTGCTAATCAGAGCCAAGAGGGGAGAGGGTATACTGCAACGGCTGGCAAAATGGAAGGACGAAGGCGTAAGTAAACCACAAGACTAACCAGAAAAGCGACTCCAATTGGCATCATTCGTATTAGGTTTTCGCCTTGCTGCTCAAATCGAAGCCCAGTTGCTGGGCTCGCATAGTGCCCATTGCCGGTGATTGCCAGCAGGCGGACTTGGGTCTGAGTGAGGCGGATCGCCAGTTGCTGATGGAGGAGGTGCAGGTGGTGGTGCACAGCGCGGCAACAGTGCGCTTTATGGAGCCGCTGCATGTGGCCCTGGACATCAACACGCGCACCACTCGCCTCATGCTGCAGCTGGCCAAGCAGATGAAACGTTTGGAGACATTTGTGCATATATCGACGGCATACTCTAACTGTGTCATCAAGCGCATTGGCGAATGCTACTATCCGGAGCACCTGACCTGCAGCGTAGGCACAATTCTGGCGCTGAGAGAGCGGCTCAGCGATGAGCTGATCGACGGCATGGCGCCAGTTCTGTCGGGCAAGTTTCCCAATACATACACCTACACAAAGGCCCTGGCGGAGCAGCTGGTCCAGACGGAAGCTGCTGGTCTGCCCATATGCATTGTTCGGCCGGGCATTAGTAAGTGGAATGATCAAATGATCGTAGGTTAAATATATATCACATCATATGCTCAGTTATTGGCAGCTATAAGGAGCCCGTCTCTGGCTGGGTTGACAATCTCTATGGTCCCATTTCCATATTCCTTGGCACGGCAATCGGAGTTTTGAGAATTATCTGTCTCAACCTCCAGACACACGCCCACTTGGTGCCTGTGGACTACTGCTCCAACCTGATCTTGGCCTGCGCTTGGCAGACAGCCAAAGACACTGCCGCACGCCTCCAGGAACCAATTGCCGCAGCTGCCTCGACTACTGAGCAATGCCCGCCGACCATCTACAACTACGTGCCTAGTGAGAGCAACATGCTCAGCTGGGGTAGCATCAAATCGAAAGCGGAAAGCCTTGGTTATGTCTACCCTCTGAGCAGAATGATATGGCTGCCCTTTTTGCATACCACGACCACGCCTTGGCTGTTCAAGTTGGCCGCCTTCTTCTACCACATTCTGCCCGGCTACTGCATTGACGTGGTGCTGCGCTTGAGAGGCCGCACCCCTCGCATGCTTAAGCTCTACGAGAAGATACATAAGAATGTGGAGACCCTGTTCCCGTTCACCAACTCCAACTGGTATTTCGAGTCGCACAATACTCAGAAGCTGTGGCAACGCCTCTCCCCAGAAGACCAACAGCTCTTTCACTTCGATATGAACACCATGGACTGGGATGATTATTTGTATATAGCTATTGCCGGCATGCGCATCTTTGTTGCCAAGGAGGAGCCTGAGTCAGTGGAGCGCGGCAAAAAAAAATTGAAACGGTAAAGCTAATCTAAACTGATTCCAATTGATTCGGATTTTATACTCGAACTCCTGATTTCCTCTTCTTTCACGCAGATTTTATATACTCCATCGGGCGCTGCAGTTCATCGTTTGCAGTGGAGCTGCAGCCATATTGTGGTCGCTGCTTAAATTTGTATTCTAGATTTTAGGCTTTTGTACATGTGTAGATCTAATTCAATAAATACATAGATGGCTTAATATGCACTCACTGCCTCTAGCAACTCCAGCACAGGATAACTTGGGCGACGTCTGCCAAATGGCGGCCATCAAATAAAGAGCTGTCAGCAGCGCCGAGTGCACCATTTCAACTTATCGACAGATTGAAGCAGACTGAGCCTTGAAGTRGCTCAGCGACTGGCACCCACCCACCCGTGCAAGTCAATTGGCCACATCCGCTGCCAGCAGCCAGACCGACAGGCGGAAGCTGGCAGCATTTTGCGGCAATTGCGAGGCCGGAGGAAGAAGTTTGCCGCCATTTGCTTGCGGTTAGCGATTAACATAATTCGATTGAGTCCGTGTGGCATGAGTCAGAATCGGGATAACTAAAATCTATGGCTAATTTATGGGGCGCCAACTTACGATTTCTATGTCCGGGCCGCGCATCCTTCCCCGCCTTCTCGTCGCCCTCCACTTGAACACTGTTCGTCTTGGCGGGCGTCTGCTTTATCGCTATGCTGGCTGCCTCCAGGATTGGCGGCACAGGCAGCGCCTGCTGCTCATTGGGCACAAACTTGTATTTACCACGAAAGCCTTTGGCTGTGCGATTCGAGCTGGCATTAAACTCCAGCAGCAGATCGGGTCCGCTGCTCAGTATGCGGCGCGTGGGGCACGGGGCGCAGAGCACATCTATGACGGCATCCATGTGCGCCGACTCCGCATCGAAGATGGTCAGTGCGTCCAGTTGACAGCCGCCGCTGACCACTGGCGGCAGCTGCAGCTCCTCGAATAGCAGCTCCACACGGCTGTCCGGGCGGCCAATGAACTTGTACGCGCACTTGATGTGCGCCGGATAGTTGGCCGGAAAGCGCGGCGAGTGGAAGTAGCCCTCGCCCAGATTCCCCTCGATTCCGGTGCTGGCAAAGAAATAGAAATCGCAGAAGCTGTGCGGCACCAGTCGACCGTTCGTCTTGAAGAGCTCTGCGCTCAGGCGTGGAACGAACGAGGTGAACATGAATTCGTAAATTTATTAATCGATTTACATTTGCTCACCTTGCTTAAGGAATCGATAGCTCGCCGTCAGATTCAAGGTCCAGTCGCCCAGCCTTGTGGGCGGCTGCTGAAAGCTAAGTCTCAGTCCCAGCAGCCTTCCGCCACTGTATATGGGCGTGGCATTGCGAGCCGTCGCACTGTGCTGGCACCAAGTGTACGACGCCAGCGTTGAGTTCTCGATGACGGGCTCCCTCAGATACGGAAAGACCTCGACGGTGTCCAAGCAGCTGTCACAAAAATTGCATATCAAGAATTGCCGCACAGCGCTAATCATATGGCAGAATTTGTGCCACACAAATGGCCGGAATCAAATGATGTTGAAAATTTATTGGCCGCTTGGCCGGTTCGTTGGTCAAGCCTAAAAATAGGCAAGCGACCAGCGAGCTGCCATTAAATAAAATGTTGCACTGCCATTCGCTTGGTTCTACATCATTTATTTTGATAAAAAGTCTAACAAAAGTTGGCGTTAAGGTGAACACAGAAGCCGCACGACAGATGCTACAACAACAAGTATGTTCAAGTTCTTAAAAGACTATGGGGAGTGACAACGGTAAGAGATGCTGTAGTTAGAATTAGGATCAGTGTGGGACTTTTCATAAAACTAGTCGAAGCGTAACGCGCAAAAAAAAAAAATTATTAAATAAATAATAATAATAATAATAACATATGGAAAAAATTTGATAGGTGAAGTTTTGTGTTTAACGCTAGCTGAGTATTTTATGCAAAGAGAATAAGGAAGCTATAGGTTGAGTATAGAGGTAAATATCTTTTGCTTAGATCCAATTATATCTATTTAAATTTTAGCATTATATTGCTGTACGTTACTGTAATACAATGTATATTATTTTGTTTCGATTTTATGCTACAATTAAAAGCAAACCATATTAAACCCATATATTTATAGAAACGCAGAATAGAACATTTTTTAATAAATACATACACTTTCAGTAAAATTGATGCTAAGAATGAAGCAGACATATAAACTGTAGAAATAAAGTGTAAAAATGTATTTTGCCAAATATTTTCATGTATAATTGGTTTTTAAAACATTCATTATTCTTCTCATAACAGAAAATAGCAGATATACTTGGCTATATGCAAACGTTTCAATTACGTTCGCAAATTGATACTGCTTCTGCTTTTAAGGGGAAAAAAAGGGAAAAAAAAAAAAATATTATAATATATTATCAGTTTATAAGGATCACAAAATTGTTAGCTACTACACGGCATCTACAGCATCTACACAAAACAAAACAAAATAGCAATTCAATAAAGTTTTGACAATAAAATGAGATAACTATGCTATAGAAACATGATGAAATTTAGGAAAATTCTTGAGTTTATTTATTTTATCCGACTGTTGCCAGCTCCAGCATTTTCACTTTATCTTCGCTTTACTTATTTTTGCGTTTACGCATTCCCCCAAGCATACGACAGAATGCGGGATAATCAATCATGGGCGGTTCCTCGAGGGTTTTGGGCTTGGCCATAGGCGCATGGCTGAGCGCCTCCTTTGCCTCGCTGATGGTCATTTTATCGCCGTAGTTGGTAAGCTCCTCGTAGATTCTATTGGGTGGGAAAGCTTTTTAATTAGGCACACGACATGGGCATTTGGAGCACTGCACCCACTTTCTCTCATCGATCATGCCCGTGCCGTGATCGTCCCATTTGCTCCAGGCCTCCAGCAGAACCTCCTCCGGATCCAGCTCTATGGTGCGACGGCACATCAGCTGGACAAAGGCCTCATAGTCCAAGGGTTCCTGTGCCTCCGACATCATTTGCTCCAGCAGCTGTTCGTTGGGTTCATTGCCGAGGGCCGTGTAGGTGAATCGCAGATCATCTTTCGATATCAGCCCGTCACAGTCCGTGTCGAAGAGCGTGAACACCTTTTGAAAATCGGCCGATCAGGCATATTTGGGGCTTGCCATTCAACCAACACTTACTTCCTTCAATTCCGCCAGCTTGGCAATGTCCAAATCCTGCGGCGACACATGATCATCGGCTGTTAGCTCCTCGGGCAGTGTGTAATGGCCAGTGCTCTCTGGCAGCTTGAGCCTGGGATTGAATATCTCGTTGATGACGGCCATTGCCTCCGAGTCAGTTGCCAGCTGAGGCGGTGGTTGTGGCGTCTGCGAAGCTTTGCGCGCTGAGCTGGCCCGGCGACGTCGCTGGCCAGAGATGGGGGACATGGATACTAGAAATCATGGCGTACACTACATTATATTCACTCACGCGTTCCAGATCCTCCAGTGAAACAGCCGGATCCATAGACATTTTGAGCTGCGCGATTCACAAACTATTCACAAGCGATTCACAAACGTTTCACAAGCGATTTACACGCGATTTGCGAGCGTTTTGCCAGCGATTTTGCACTTTTACACCAATAAATCTGGTCGCTACGACAGCGGCCAACGTTGTGTCCAACGCTCTGCCCAAGCTCCACTGAAATTTGTGGCGCCGGTGCTGAGCAATTTTATTGACAAATCGATTTCGAAATTTTTTTAATAATTTCTTCCTCTTGTTTTTTTTTTTTTTCATGGGTTATTTTAATGCAGCTAAAATAGCTGCAAATTTCATAAAAATTGACACAAATTTGCGAACATTTATATAAATAACCAGGCGTGCCGAGCACGGCTCCACGGACCCCCCAGCCATGGTGGCCTTCAGAAGGTATTTTAATTACATTGCATTCACATATTTCCTCGATGGTCGACGCATTTTGATGGCTGTCGCGCAGCTGCCTATATGGCTGACAGATCCAGATCTCTGATCGATTTGGATACGGCATGCCACAGCTACAGTGGGTGGCAGCCGACGGACGACAGCGACTGTACGGCTGGCTTACTACGGCCGGAAGCGTTGCTACTCACCCGGGTCGCAGCTGCAGCTGCTGCAGCTGAAAGGCCACCAGCTCGTCGGCCATGCCGCCAATGAAGATCATCAGGCAGTTGTTTTTGGCGCCCAGCGCATGGCTGGCATTAATGCTAACGCTGCCCCATTGTGTGGCGTTGCGCTCGTTGGCGTGCAGGCAGCTGCAATCTGTGCATGGACACTCATCAATAAGGCATTCGAATGCAGCTCTATGCCGAGGCGACTTACCTAGCCACAGCTGCGCTTGCTTACTGCCAGCAGCCCGTTGACCATTGACCACCGAAATCAGTGCCAACACCAAAGTTAACCAAGCGGCCGCCATCTCCAGCGGCCAAAATGAAACTGCTATGTGCCGAGTGACGAGCATCGCGATAATATCCTGTCAGTGGCTCAGCGTCCTGCGGCAGCTTGTGTGTGCTTTAAAAATAGCTAGGCGCCACCCCAGCTGCACAGCTTCCCAGCTGCCCCACAGCCCCTGGCCCCGCTGGCCAGTTCACCTGCCTTTTTTCGTATCATTAAATTTAAGTTGAGGTTTTTATGAAACTGCCCCACCCACAGCTGCAGGTGGCGCGAGAGCCAATCGTTAGTTTCTGCCACAGCCCACGCCTGTGGCACCTCCAGCCGAGTTTGGTAAGCTATTTATAAGTGGATTTCATTTTTCTGTGATTGGCAGTTATCTGCGCGCTCACAACTGCTTTTCAAAAGAGTTCTAAGCCATTTTATTGACCCCGAGGTGCACCCATTTAGAGTTTAGCTTAACTTAGCTTAGCTTAAATTTAGTTTGATGCGGCATACCAAACAGCATAAGATCAAATTAAATGATAATAGAGGTAGGTATTTATATCTATATCTATATATCTATATCTATATCTATATCTATATCTATATCTATATCTATATCTATATCTATATCTATATCTATATCTATATCTAATTTTTCATTGAAAGCCAAAAACTAAAAATTTATTTAATACAACTTCAACATACACACATTAAAAACTATATATATATATATTTAGGAATATTATATGATTAGGTGCCACCTGTTTGATTCATCTTCGCCTTGAACATGTCGGCCAACATAGCCGCTTTGCTGGCATTGAGTTCTTCGTAGTCGTAGGGCGCCATGTACTGCTTGCATCGTTCCAGCCATTGCTTGACATGCTTGTAGGTCTTAAGCTCGAATTCGAAGGCCTCCAGCTGGGAGACAGTAACAAGAAGCGTCAAATCCGCAATGGTGAAATGATCTGCAGCTGCGAATTCGCGACCTTCGAGTATTGAGTTCAGCCAGCCTACAGCTTCGGTCAGCTTGGCTCGTTTTCCCTCGTCCAGGGGGGCGCCAATGAACATTGTGGGAAACTGCGAGGGAAGTACGTTTATTATGTTAAATGTTGACTTTTTTTGCTGTCAGCCACTCACATAGAAGTCGGTGAGGCGCTGATAGAGAGTGCCCAGGTCAAAGTGTAACCGCTGATCCACGAGAGCTCGCACTCGTATATCCGTGGGGTACAGCTCGTCCGTCTTGGCGTAGGCGGCAACCAAATATGATAGTATAGCGCGACTATAATGGACGATTATTACTATTTGTTGTGATTCAGATATTCTTTTGTAGCATTTATCACCTCTCCCACAGCACCAATCCCTCGTCGTTCATGGTGGGCACACAGTGCTGTGGATTCATGGCCACGAATTCGGGCTTCAGCTGCTCCCCCTCCAGTATGTTGACGATCTTTAGCTCGAAGTTCAGATCGAGCATTTTGGCCAGCAGCAGAATACTGCGACAGGGCGGACTCGGAGGCAGATAGTACAGCACTGGCGTCGACATTTTGCCACCTCTGACAATTAGAAAGTAGACGAACTCGGTAACAATTTGTTCGGTTCGATTCATGGGTATCAACTGAAAGTGCTTTCTAAATTGGACAAGCACACGACAGGACACCAGTTGGTCGCTCGCACACCAGAAAATCAATTCATCGATTTCAAATATTTTATTAATGTAAATTGCTTGACGACTTACAGTAGGTCTCGACAAGGTGAATGCTAATAATATCTAATTTGCTTTCATTTATATACGGATGATTCTGGTAAACAAGCTAAGCAATAAAATCAATAATATTTGGGCTGAGATCAGGTTATGAATAAATACGAAAATAATCAAAAATATTTAAAAATAGCCAAGTGATGCACTGAACAGATTGTTAAGCTTAAGTAAGGAAAATAAAATTTTGTTTACTATTTGAATTTTTAAGACGATTTTAACATATATTAAGTTATATTTCTAATAAAATTTATAACAAATTAAGAATGGGTACTTTCCTTGACTTTACTTTATTTATTATTACAAATTTGACATACTGAAATTAATTGATTGCAATGCAGAAATATCTTAGGGTATGCAAGTGCTTAGCTGTGGAAATTTATTCACACTTGAGTGTGTTACTGGCATATTAATTGAAGCTGCTCTACCTCGATTAATTTTTTTGAATTATGAATGTGGGAAATGGTATTGCTGCCAGCTAGCCGCATACTCACACAATCCTATGCACCAGCTTGTGTTGCACCACTGCCACGGAGTCGATGTCTATGCAGTTCCCCAGTGTGGCTGCGAGTGTCGAGCGCTGCTGTCGTCGCTGCGGAGCTCTAGTCCTTTGGCTGGTGGCTGCTGGTGCTGGTGCTGCTGTTGCGTTGAAGATGTCTTTGTTGATGATATAATCTGTTTATGTTAACTTGGGGACGTGTCTGTCCCTCAATGTATCCGTCGCCGTCGCTCGTTGTCGTTGTCTGCCTGTTTGAATTTTCAAAACTTTCATGTCATCGGCGGCTGCTTGGCGCTTTGTTTCATGTCTGTTTTGTTTTGCTATTTTCGTTTAGTTTTCATAGCGAACGTTACCTGGACGACAGGCGCGGCGCGTCGCCTCGGCTAATGTGTGCTCACCTGAACGGGCGCTTGGCGCGAGTGAAAGGGCGAGTGGCACAGTGAGGACAGTAGCCGGATTGTGGGGGCGTGCGGCTGCCGAAACTCGGTCAGGATATCGTGCGCTTGTCTGCTCCTTTTTTCCATTCTAAAATTAAGCCACTACATAATTTGTTGTAGCTACGTGTTTTATTTGTTATTGATTGCAGCAAGTCTTTCCAAATGAATGGCGCTCGGAAACTTGGTCAGGCGGTAACTGGGGACGAAACTGAAAGTGGGCCCCAATGCATGTTAGGCTAACTTTTAGCACTTTCTTGCCCACTTCAAAGCAGGCACGCGCTGTCGTGAGGCATTAGATAATCTGAAATGTTAAGGAAATTAGCTAAGCCTGAACCAGGCACTCTTTTTCGCCCGCCAGTGTAAAGCGAAACTTACCTAGCTCACTCGCCTGATAGTTACCTGAGGTGCCATTTGTGCAGGTAAGCCAAGGACAATGCCTATTTTGGGAAATTATGAAAAAGACATTCAAAGGCATTAACCATTCAAATTCCCAGAAAATCTATCATTAGGTGCAAAAAGAAGGGACACTTGAGCGCGCAATGCACAAGGATAACAAACATTTAAAATGGACCCGGCCAGCAGGAGCCTATAAAGGCGCTGAGCAGCACAGGTGCCATAAACAGTCGTCGTCCTGAAGGTACATAGAGATGAGCTACAGAAGTCCATACAACATGTCGCTGCGCCTGTTGCTGCTGCTCATGATGTTCTATGAAGCGTGCACGCTGCCGGCACTGGAGACTGCTCCCCCTGCAACAGCTGTTAATAGCATAGAGGAGACGGATAAGCTGCCGGACACACACATCGAACCGATCGCCTCAAACGAGGCAGCTCTGATCAGTGCCAATTCCACGAATCAAACTTCTGCCGGAAACAACGAAGCGCAGGAACCATCAGTCGTAAGTGAAATCAGCAACAGCCAAATGAAGGTAGAAAGAGATCTCAGATAATTCCATTACAGCCGGGTGATAATGTGGCCAGTGCCAGCAACAATGAGCCGGTATCCATCTATGCCGGTGGCCTCATCACGCCCGAGGCCTTTCAGCAGTATCTGAGTCAATACGGCGGTGCTGCAGGTTTGCCACCGCTTGCCGCGGGATATCCCGCACCCATAACTGGGGCGCCCGGCATCTATCCGTATCCGGGCCCCATTATGGTGCAGACCGGCTACGAGGGCTTCTTGGTGCCTGCCAATCAGGTTAGTGCCGATGTTGCTTCAGATAGTACAACAACTGTGGCAGCTGCGCCCTCTCCTGCCATGAATCCCTTGATAGCCTTTGCGTCCCGGCTGTTGCCCTCCATACTGATGTCCACGCTCTTCCGCATTGTGGCCGTCGTGCTATCTGCCGTGGGGGTGATCCTCTTTGGCAGCGCCATCACCAGCGCGCTCTGCCGGCACACTCAAATCTGTGAGTTTCCAAACAAAGCCGTTAACTATCTACGCTTTGGCGGGGCACAAGATGTGGGTCGCATGCTAGCCGAGGAAATTACGCCGGAACGCGTGAGGCGAACCACGGAATTCGTACGCAAAGCCATTCACAAGTATCGCCAGCTGCAGAAGCTAGTCGAGCCGGAGACTGAAATGGACTAATAGTTGGAGATAAAACTTAAGTTTATCAATTGTAAACCAAGAAGAACTGAAATATATATACATACTTTTATTTAGTCATAATCATGATGAGTTTTTATTCAAATATGGGATATGGAATCTAGAGAATATTATGACCAAACTAATTTTCAAATTTATATAATAGATTCAAAACATAAAATAATTTAAGGTTAATTCATTTATTATTATTTTGTTTTATTTATTTACTTTTTTTTTTTTTTTTTTTTTTTTTTTGAAAGCAAATAATTAGTTGCTAGCTTGACTTGTTAATTTGACAAACTGAAAAAAAAACCAAGTAAGAAAGCTCTAGTCGAGACTGCTCGACTACAAGATCCCCTGAACCCTTGGAGTGTTAGCTATTTCAATAATTTTTCGCGTCTTTCACACGCACGTACGCACACACAGGCATACATACACACACACGCATACACACACACGCACGTACGCACACACAGGCATACATACACACACACGCATACAGACACAAACGCATACACACACTCACATACACACACATATACACAAACACATACACAAACCCATACACACACAAGCACCCACGCATAAACACGCATGGGCTGCAGTGTGCGCTTACTATGAGAACTTAATTGTTTAATAACTTTTTTTATGGACGTACGATCTTCATGAAACTTTCAGATTATGATTATAACATGGATATGCATGTAATTGCCAAAGCACAAGTCTCTAGTATTTGAAATACGCTTTTTACAAAAGTGAGGGTGAGGGGGTGAATTTAAGGGTGGGGGGTAAATTTTAACAAAAACCGAAATTGTATAAATTGCATATAAGCATACATTAAAAATTTGGAGACTCTAGCAATAAAGGTGTAGAAGATATAATTTTATAACTGGTTTTCGATAAGGTTTTTTATCGATAAAAAAAGATCGGGATGAGTTATCGANACGGACAGACGGACAGACGGACAGACAGACGGACAGGGCCAAATCAACTCAGCTCGTCGCCTTGATCAAGAATATATATAATTTGTGGGGTATGCCTGTTACATACATTTCAACAAAACCATTATACCCTGATTTCAGGGTATAAAAAACTTTCTCTAGAGTATTAAAAACATTATCATGCCCCCTATTACCGATTACAATAGCTCAGAGACTTCATATTAAAAATAAAAATTATTATTATTAATTGCACAAACTGCTTAACAATAAATAACTTTATAGTTTTAATGGAAAATAATTTAAGCTTTCACGTCTTTCATTTTAGCATCGTACCACTGCTTCATCTGGGCCATACTTTCCAAATTTTCCGACCAGCCAGGAACTACCTTCTCAGCATTGGCGTACCACTTGGCCACATTTGGGTAGCTCTTGAGCTCAACATTGGCAGACACCAATGTAGAAACGGTGGCCAGAATGGCAATATCAGCGATGGTTAAATGATCGCCAGCCACGTACTCTTGACCCTCGAGGAAGGTGTTGAGGAAGCCGAGGGCAGTCTCGATCTTTTTGAAGTCTTCAGGATCTCCGGGCTTGTTCAAAATGAATATTGGGTGGAAGTAATCAGTGAATGATTTGTACAGCACACCCATATCAAAGTATAGGCGCTGATTGACTATAGCCTGTTGCTTGGGATCCTTGGGATAGAGGGAGTCGTCCTTGCCGTACTTCTGAACCAGGTAGACCAGAATGGCACGCGACTCCCACAGCGCGAAGCCATTATCCACGATCGTTGGAACCGTGTGCTGTGGGTTGATCTTCACAAATTCTGGTTTCAGTTGCTCTTTCTCCAGGGCATTCACAATTTTCTTGTTCAGCTGGACGCCCAGAGCTTTCGCCGTCATGATCACTGATCGGCAGGGGGTTGAGCCGGGCATATAATAGAAATCCATGTTGTAATTGAGTATTAATTGTACTCTGCTATCGAATGTTGGCCGCAAACTGATTTTGAGCACGGAACGGCAACTGCTTTTATAGCAATAGTTTATAGAATATTATCTCTTAAGTACTTTTTCAATCGTTTATCATGTTTGGTTTGTCACTGTTACTTTCATTTTGATATGGAGGTTATATATATGGGAATATATAATAATTTAGAACCAATTGAATGTGTCACACTTGTTCACGCTTCAAGAGGCTACAATATATTGAGGCGTGTGCTTAAGCTGTAAAGATAATTTAATATGGAAATCTTGCTTTAATATCTATCCAAAAGAAATATTTTGTACGGTAAAAAAAAAGCCAATATGCTCATTTATCTCTGAAAATGAGCATACAAACAATATTTATTCATGCGGCGATATCTACATATATCTCATGCATTCGAAATTAATAATACAGCGATAACATTTCTTTATTAATTGTCTTCTTTATTCAGAAATATAAAAATATGATAGTGTTAATTTAATAAATAGAACCATGCATAGAATGTTAGCAAACTATGAAGTTCACTTATTCATGATAATCACTAAAGCTATAAGAATTTCAAAGGAGAGCTTTAAAAAAAGCTTCGTTTAATGAAAGCTGCCTGAGTTCGCAAAGCTTACGAGTTGCATGCAACAGGTTAAAAAGAACATTTAAAAAGTCAACACATATGGTATTTTTAGCGCCGCGTCAAATAAGCTCGATTTGCACACACATATGTACACATGTTCGTATGTATGTGTACAGAAATATAAGAATATATGCCTATATATACACACATACATACATAGAAACCATGCCATGCAAATAAGCTGAGTACACAAAAGCTGAAGCAGCGAAGTTCATGGTTAAATACAGCTGTATGTATGTATATATGTACATATATATGTATGTGCATATGCACGGATATTAACATAGAAATACATATATACATATACGTATGTATATATGCATGTTTGTAAACACTTCGAAGCTTTTTGCTATCTCTCGCTCGCCGGTAATTATCGACATGCTTAATTTCTGTGATTGTTCGGTAAATAAGTAAATACACTTAGTTCAACTAGCCGGGAATATACATACATACATAAATATATATAGTTTATTGAATATTTTCTGCGAACTTATTGTTTAGAGAAATTATAAATATGTGTTATACGATATGGATTGCGATTGCGATAAATTTACTGTTTGCGTATTCCAGCAATGCGCTCTTTGAGCTTCTCCAAGCCTTCCACATTCTCAGCCCAGCCGGGCGTCTCTTTTTGAACACGTTCGTACCAGTTAGCCACGTTCGGATAGTTGGCCAGTGGGAAGCCCACTGTCACAATGGTCGATACACTGGATAAGATGGAAATATCGGCGATGGTCAGGCGACTGCCGGCAACATATTGCTCTCCTTCCAGGAAGGTGTTCAGGAATGCAAAGGCAGCCTCGACTTTCTTGAAGATCTCGGGATCAGCGGGCTTGTTGAAACGAAACTGTGGATAGTAATAGTCGGCGAAGGCCTGGTAAAGCACACCCATGTCAAAGTATAGACGCTGGTTCACTAGCGCCTTTTGCTGTGGATCCTTGGGATAGAGCGAATCGTCTTTGCCGTATTTCTCTACCAGGTAAATCAGAATGGCACGCGACTCCCAGATGGCGAAGCCATTATCGACGAGCGTTGGGATCGTATGTTGGGGATTCAGCTTGATGAATTCCGGCTTCAACTGCTCCTTTTCGCCAGTGTTGAGCAACTTCTTGTTCAGCTTAATGCCCAAAGCGGCAGCTGTCATAAGAACGGAGCGGCACGGGGCCGAGCCAGGTGAGTAATAAAAGTCCATTTCCACTATCTGAATTCTCGTGTCCGACGCCTTCAATGTGCGAGCGACTACTGAATTCGCTCACTTTCTGCTCTGGCTATTATACGAATAGTAAAAGCTCAGATAAGCCATGACATATGTATGTGAATGTTATCGCAACCCAATTCCTCTTTGCTTTCATGCTTGATAAAAATTACTAATCAGTGGCATATTGTTCTGGAAATCCCTGTGGGGTATTATCGATGGCAATCAGAATGTCATCGCGGCGTATTATCATTGGCATTCATAATTTCATCAATCGTGAACGCTTGTCACTTGCAGTGAAATGTTCGAATGGGAAAATTCGGAAAGCTTTTTAGTTTTATATATTGATTTTATGAAATCTTTGTTGTCTCTCAATCTATATATAAGATGGCAAAATATATCGAACTAATTGATAATCATATTCGTATGTCACCTTTTAAAAAGTTAAGTTATAAGGGGCGTGGCAGCTTTAAAGCTTGAGCTCTCGAGCTCCGGAGATCAACTAAAATTGTAATTACAAATAATCTTTAACTATTAGCGATGAACGAGTATTATGCAGTCGGCTACAGGCTATTGCATCATTTCTGTAATCTTTATTTAATATAAATGTTTATAATTCAATCTGTTTCATAATTTACTGATTTCTTTTGTTTTACTTAGTTGCATTTTCTTTGCGTTTCTCTGCGATCCATTCTTTCATCGCATCCAAGCCCTCATCCCAACCGGGTATTACCTTCTGAACGGCCTCATACCAACGGGCCACATTTGGGTATTTGGCAATATCAAAGTCAGCCGCAACAAATGTGGAAACTGTGGCCACAATGGAAAAGTCGGCCACAGTCAAAGTATCGCCAGCCACAAATTTCTGACCTTCTAGGAATGTATTGAGACTCCCAGATGGAGAAGCCATTGTCCACCAGAGTGGGAATCGTATGCTGTGGATTGATCTTCACGAATTCGGGCGTTAGTTGTTCACCTGCCAAGGTGTTCAGCAGCTTCTTATTTAACTCAACGCCTACGGCCCTGGCTACCATGAGAACGGCACGACATGGAGCTGAAGCTGGCAAATAATAAAAGTCCATTGCGTAGTTACGTTTCAGTCTGATCTGTTTGACAAGCGACCCCCTACTGACTTTTATATGCTTCTATTGGGAAATACGAGAATGTCTAAACTAATGTGTATACAAATACATATGTATACCTTTGTATCGCCTTTCTTATCGTGTATTATAGAGTACCTCTACTGACGCCCTTTCAGTATACTCAGAAGGAAACAACTGTATAACATCTTGTGTGTGTGCGGAGAGCATTCGTAACTAGAGAAGCTTCATTAAAATTTCTGAGTTGATATAAGTAGACATATTTGTACACTAACCATCAGAAACTCATCAAATTTTGTAATCCAGCATTCACCTACAGCTTTTTCCAAAGGTTTCGGAATTGCTGAATTTGTTTTTTTTGGGGCAATATAGCATATTTGAAAATACTCTAACTTAAAACTAGCAGCAGTAATACTCCTATAATAAACCAAAATGTAACTGTCAAGGCGCGTTTCATTATAATATTATCTAAAAGTATTTTTTTTTTTGATGGTGCGACTTTGGGGATCTTTTGCCTACTTCATTAGAATTATTCTGTTCGTAAAATACCAAGTTTGGTTTTTAGTTACCAAGCTCTGCAGGCATGTGTTATTTAATCTTTCCAACCGGTGTACATATACAAAAGACACATACAATAGAACTATACATACATATAGTTCTGTGTATAGCTGTGTAGCTAAAATGTACCCTGTAAATATGTTCAGAGCTTAATCATTGTATCTACTATGTATGAGAGAATGAATATACATAAATGTATATACAATTTAATCTTTGTTCGTAATTTATTATCGGCTCGTTCTACGTTTACAGATCTTAAATACTACGGGCACAGATTCTGGTGTCAGGCTGCTCTCAATGAGCTTCGTACAAACAGGGTATATACATAAATATGTATGTATATAAATTGAATTTACCTCAAACTATTATTTATTGCCTCTCTTACAATTAATCTCTTCGCATTCAGCTGCTCTTCTCTTAGCTAATGCCAAACCTCTCTGCGCCGCTGTGGGGATCTTTTATGAGAGGGTTCCATGACGCATGCGTCGTTGGAGTAGGCAAACTGGTTCTTCGGACATTCATACAAATGAATAAGCTTATAGCTCATAGACGCCACGACCTTTCTCTACATTTGTTCCCTTCGTCAGAGATCGATGCGTAAAACCCCAAATCATTGTTTATGCTTTTCATTGAATCGTTGGATTATGTACAAATGAGTAACTTGCCGTTGGTTTCTTATGCTTCTGCTTCTTCTTCACATTCTTATGTTTGGGGTTTTCTCAGAGCTGCGAACATTCTAGAATATGGAGAGGTGACTAAAGCTTTCTCAGCTCTCAGTTCGCAACAGTTTGCTCGAGTTGTTTTTGGCTTGAAGATTTGACTGACGTGTACCCCCATCATAGTGAGCCGGCTCTCATTGTTTTGAAATGTTTTATGCAGTGTCATGGTGATAGTAAAATTAGACAGTTGTGAAACTGATAAAAGTAAAAATGTTTGATGTTCATAGAATATTCGAGTCGTACGTACAAAATAAATGCCAAGTCATTTATGTATTTTGTTTTTGTAAATTAGTAATATGAATGAGCTGAATTTCGTCATTGAGATACACTTTACTGAACTGAATTTTTATGAAACCTAATGAAATCTTATACATAAAACATAAACATAAACTAAAATGATTTAAGCCAGAAAATTAATATGTGATGTATTTATGTTAGAATATTAAGCCAAAGAAAGAGATCTTTTGCGTCTAATAAAAATCGAAAATGTAATTATAGGATAATAAAAGTTATGGCCAGGTTGATACATATGTATGTATATATTTATTGTATACAGCTCCTGGCGACTTTGCGTGACCTTAGCTAATTATAATGGCGACCATTTGTGGCCCTTCACAAAGAAAATATCTCTGGTAGTACAATCGGCTACACTAATAGCCATGAACTAAGTTTAGCTTTGCCTTTAAGGGAAAGTCAATAACATTAAGAAATACACATTCGTACAGACATTCTGCTATACATACATAGGAACAATACAAGCAAGTAATGATTACTGGCAAATATTGTTATACATTGTAAACAGCGTTTATTTTCATGCCTTTAACGGCAATGCTTTTGCTCTCAATCGATCGCATGTCAAGGGCGTGGGCAGCTGAACGTCCAAGATTGTTATATTTTGTTATACGCTCATACATATGGATAGTTACATACACACATACATACGAATGTGTATAATCTGACGCTTTCAAGGCCATTCGAAAATGCACTACTTGACTGAATATTTGTTTGTTGTTTGTTCTCAAATTTCATTTTCGTAAATCAAATGTATTCATGTCGGTTTTAACAATTATTTTACAATTAAGTTATCGTGATTACTGTCATATCTTAAATTTCTCAAGTTTTAATTAACAACAGCTGCAAAGAATTCACACAATTTGCCATAGGCAAAATTGTTTATAATGGACGTAATAGAAGCTCAAGCTGTCTATATTATGTGAATGTTCATATGAATAAAATATATATACACACATACCTATTAGAGAATTTTTGCAATATATGTGCATACATTCATACAGCAAAGAGTCAAACAACAACTATGGGACTGAATTCGAAAACAAAAAGTATAGCAACTTTGTATGTATGTATGTTTGTATGTATGTATGTATGTATGTATGTATGTATGTATGTATGTATGTATGTATGTATGTATGTATGTGTATGAGCATACAAACAACGCCAAACACGCGAAATCAACAAGCGGTCTTTTGGCATCTAACTCTCTGGGTGTGTCTGTGTATGTGTGTATGCATATTTGTGTATTTACTGTGCTCCCCCCAAACCGTAGATAACCCGTTGCTTGTGTTTGCCGGTTTCATAGCGGCCGGTGACTGACTCACGCCGGCGGTCTATAAAAGCCGCGCGTCTCTTGAAAAGCTCAACAGTCTTGCTTGGAACTCAGCACAGCGCGTTGTCAATTTTCTGCAAAAAAGTAAGTGTTCAACTACACAGATACATAATGGACAATGTATATATCAAAGTGTGTGTGCATTTGTGTTTGTGAGCCAAAAACAATAGATAAAACTATTTGAAGTGTGTGGAAAAAACCCAAATGAGAAAAACAAATAACAAGTTATATCTATGACATCACAGGACTACGTATATAAATTCTAAAATAAATCATGCATACATACATGACAATGAGCCCGATATTTAATTATGAGTCCCAATGGGCTTCCATATGTTTTTGCTGAAATTATAGTGCGCGTCTAATGGTAGTTTATTCTCTGTGCTCTTCTAATTATAGTAAAACAAACATGGTTGACTTCTACTATCTGCCCGGCTCCTCGCCCTGCCGCTCCGTCATCATGGCCGCTAAGGCTGTTGGCGTTGAGCTGAACAAGAAGCTGCTGAATCTGCAGGCCGGCGAGCATCTGACGCCCGAATTCCTGAAGATCAATCCCCAGCACACGATCCCCACTCTAGTGGACAATGGCTTCGCGCTGTGGGAGTCGCGCGCCATTCTGGTCTACCTGGTGGAGAAGTACGGCAAGACCGACTCGCTCTATCCCAAGTGCCCCAAGAAGCGCGCCCTGATCAACCAGAGGTTGTACTTCGACATGGGCACCCTGTACCAGAGCTTTGCCAACTACTACTATCCACAGGTGTTCGCCAAGGCGCCCGCCGATCCCGAGGCTTTCAAGAAGATCGAGGCTGCCTTCGAATTCCTGAACACCTTCCTGGAGGGTCAGACCTACGTCGCTGGCGACTCGCTCACCGTCGCCGACATTGCCATCTTGTCCACAGTGTCCAGCTTCGAAGTGGCCAAATTCGACATCAGCAAGTACGCTAACGTCAACAAGTGGTACGAGAACGCCAAGAAGGTGACTCCCGGCTGGGATGAGAACTGGGCCGGTTGCTTGGAATTCAAGAAATACTTCGATTAAGCTCCATTCCTCGTCGAATATTATTATACTTATAATTTATTCATATGCATAATTAACTCACAAAACGATTTGAGATCGTCAAATGTAGCGTGCTAATTTGCATCAAGCGAGTCTTTGATGTGAACGTTTATTTTATTCTTCAAATAAAAGAGTATTCATTTTTATTGAGTACAATTTAAGAGAAAAAACGTTATGGTTTTTACTGTTTGTCTTCATTCTGCTCTTTCTTCTTCTGTTCCCCTCCTAATCTATGTTACTTACTCTCTGATTTATTGTGTCTCACGTAGTCTATTGGACTATATCAAAGCTTAATCTCTTCGGATGCGCTCTAAAACATAAGGCTATCTACTTTTGGATATGTTTTCTAAAAAATTAGAGCGTAATAGAATTGGAAAACGCAATTTATAGATTTTTGACACCTTAGTTTTCCTTTTTTTTGTGCAATTTAGCTATAATAATTTAGCATTCAAAAAGTCTTTAGTTTAAATTTGAAATATATAATATAATAAAATACATAATATATAATATAATACATTTATTACTGAGGAGAAGGATATTTGCTAAGTGCCCGCCAAATTTCAAACTGAGTAACAGAGCCGAAACTGTGACGTCACCATCGAGCTGTTAGTTAACATTAACAGTGACAGAGCTGCTTTTTGCGTAACCTATTGAGTCTCTTAACAGTGGAGCCGGCAAACTGTTAACAGAAATTTATATATCAACAAAAATCTATTGTGAACTATAGGTTAAATATATTTACGATAAATTATGAAATGTGCATTAGTTATCCGCAGAGCAATAAACTACAATACAACTACGAAATTCAATAGATGAACTCATACATTATTCTTTAAATTATATTGTTTAGCTACTTTTGAAAGTCACGGATCAGCTGTTTATTTTTCGCTCATCAGGCGACGGCGCGTGTCTATTGTGACCGTCAGTTAGTTCTTATTTATTTAGTTAGTTTGGTTTACGTGCGCAAATTGTTCGTAAGTTCCGCTCATGTTTTTAAAACCCTACAGATTAAAGAGCAGTGCCGCTCTCAAAGGCTCCGAATCCAAGAAGCTGCGAGCTCGACTCGAATTAGCCTTCCCACATGTGCCGGGCGACAATCTGCTGCCGGCAAAGGCGAATGTGACGCAGCTGAAAATTCTCACACATGGCGGCCAGCCGAGCATGGTCTACTGCGTGGACAAGCAGCCGATGTTCTTTGAGCTGGATGGCGGGCAGCTGGTGCCCACGCTCTACACACTGTGGGCAACGCCCGACATACTGCCTTATTTCACCACACACGAGGGCGTGCTGCCGAAGCTGTCGAATGGGGCGGATTTGATGCTGCCCGGCGTGGTGCCGCTTGGCGTTGGCCACCAAATGTATGGACACTTCAAGAAGGATCAGTTGAGTGAGTGTATGGAATATTGTATATTGAATTTACTTCTAATCTTTCCGATTTCGTTTCCTGCAGTTGCTGTTAACTTGACAAATAATAGTTCGGCTGTGGGCGTGGGCCAGCTGGCGCGCTCCAGCGATGATCTCTACATGTGCGGTGGTCATGGCGTGGCTGTTAAAATGCTGCACATGTTCGGCGATAAGCTGTGGGCCCATGAGCCCAGCATGTTGCAACAAATTCCTCTGGTTAAGATGAAGCCCCTGACGGGTGACGACTTTCCCGCCTTGGGTAGTCCAGATCATCAGCGCAAAGTGATAAAGGCTCCACAACCCGAGCAGGCATCTTCACCCGAACCGATATCACAAGCTGCAGAATCAGCTGAATTGGAGTCCAGCACAGCGGCCTTAACGCTGGACGAGACTAGTGAAACTTCAGCAGTTCCTGAAGCACCATCACCAGATGAGGCCACACCGGAAGCGTTGCTCAAAAAGGCATTTTTGGCTGCGCTTAAGCACAATGGCAAGAAGCTGCCGCTGCCGCTATTAACGAGCAACTTCTTTAGGCTTTACGTGGTGCCCGAGGCAGCTGAACCGATTGACTTGAAGAAGACGCGCTACAAGAAGCTGTCCAATTTTCTGGCAGAGATGGTCGATCAGGGCTTCATAGTGGTGCGGGAGGAGACGAAGGGCGTGGATAAGATCATCTCCGTCGATCTGGAGCATCCAGAACTGGTGAACTTTATAACGGATGTGAAGACGGGCGATAGCAGCGGAGCAACGACCGAGAAGCTACTGTTCCACTCAGAGCTCAAGGAGATGTACATCGTGTCCGACGTCACCGCCGCATTCTTCACAAAGTTGAACTACAAACGAGGCGAGGGCATTCCCGTGGGTCAGGTCAAGAAGATAGTGCGCGAATATGTGAGCAAGCATAACCTAATCGATCCGCAGACGAAGCTGGTGCGTCCCGATGCGGTGCTCCAGGAGCTGTGTGGCGATCGAGAGGGTACACTGAGCGAACTGACCTCCATTATCACAAGTAAAATGGAGCATTCCTATCAAATGTGCAGCGGCAAGGACACCAGTGGCAAGCCCCAAATACAAATGTCCCTGGCCACCAGGTCAGGCAACAAGAAAGTAACCCTGGTGAGCAACATCGAGGCCTACGGCATCATCATGACCGAGCTGATAAAGCTGTGCAAACAAGGCGCTGCCGCCAGCACCAGCATCGTCAAGCTTCCTCACCAGAAGCACGAGCAGCTGCAGGTGCAGGGCAATCAGATCCGCTTCATATACACGCTGCTCACGGAGACCTATAAGGTGCCGCCCAAGTGCATATTGGGCCTGGAGCTAGCCAAGGATGGCAAGAAGAAACGTAAGTGATCGAATCAGCGGAGGAAGTGAATGTAATAAAACCCAAAGATCTGACCTTTGGCTTCTGTTATAATAAATTATTTATTAACTGTACTTGGGAGTGGGGATGAACCGGATTCGTGCTACAAGAACCACAACAACAAACGGGAGGATGAGTCCAGCGTCTAGCCGAACTTAACAATGTCTAGCAATTGTGCTTGTTTATTTTGAGATAGAGATTAGCGTTTACTTGGCCTTGCCCTGGGCAGCAACAGCTTCGATGGCCTTCTTGACTGTCTCCTCGTCGCCAAGGAACTGCATGGACACGACGGGCTTGAAGTTCTCGTCCAGCTCGTAGACAAACGGTATGCCAGTGGGCAAGTTCAGGGCCATGATGGCATCCTCAGACAGATCTGTATGGATGAAGTGGATACTTTAAAAATGATCAAGAATTTAGGACAACTGTGACGCACTATCTAAATGCTTGACAATGCCGCGCAGACTGTTGCCGTGGGCTGCAATCAGGATGCGCTTGCCCTCCTTCATCTGTGGAATGATGACATCGTTCCAGTATGGCAGTGTGCGCTCGATGGTCAGCTTCAGTGACTCGAACATGGGGAACTCCTCGGGCTTGGGTCCATCGGCGTAACGCGGATCCTTGACAATGGTGTCGTAGTAGGGATGGCCGGGCTCCATCGGTGGTGGCGGGGTGTCGAAGCTGCGACGCCAGATTTGCACCTGAGCCTCGCCATATTTGGCGGCGGTTTCAGCCTTGTTCAGGCCGGTCAAACCACCATAGTGACGCTCATTCAGGCGCCAGGTCTTGTAGATGGGGATCTCCTTGTGGCCGCTGGCCTGCAGAATGCTGGCCAAAGTGACCTGTGCGCGGGTCAGCACCGACGTGTGGGCCACATCGAATTCAAGGCCAGCGTTCTTAACGGCCTTGCCAGCAGCTAGAGCCTCCTCCTTGCCTGATCACAAAGTATCGATTGATTGTATTAGGTCTTTCATTATGAGAACTTGAATTTACCCTTATCGCTCAGATTGGCATCATACCAGCCGCAGAATTGATTTTTCTGGTTCCACTCGGACTCGCCGTGGCGAACCATTACAATCTTGTACTTGCCACCCATATTTGATAATTGTACTAGTTTACGGAAAATTATGTTATACTTGCGGCGATGGCGCTTATAGCACTGTCGCTTTCCTTTGGGTCTACTCAAATATGACCTACAAGGGGGCTTATCAAGGTCGTGGCTGTCAAAACTGCGTATTGCAACGCTGTGTGGGCTGTTCGCGGTTGGTATTACGTAAGGCGGTTACGTTTGGCGCCAAACTCGTATCGAAAAATGCAACCCTGCTGTTTGGATTTTCGCCCTGCTATCGCAACAGATGGGCAGCCTCTGTATCTGAGCGTAGAAGAAGCAGCAGTAAACAAAGCGTTTGTGAGCTTAGCTGCTGCAATAGTTTTTATTATCGCTATTATTACTCACAACTGAAAATTATGACTGAGAAAGTAACTGCGCGATGCAGCTGGGCCCAAACAGCTGGCAAAGAGCTGCAACAGGTGATACCCACACGGCACTCGGACGAAGATGTCTTTGAAAAGTTAGACAAAGGATTTCCATTTACAGCTAAAAATTGCATTCACGCCCAAACTGGTTTACACACATATTTATATATACAATTATGTACATATTTGCAGGCCCGACTTGGACGATGTTATCGATGAGGAACGCGCTGTTTTGTTCTCGAACAACGACTGCCCGTCAATACCCTGTGAACTGCAATTTAAAATATCGCCAAATTTTAAAATTGCCGCCATAACGCTTGTGTGCAGCGCACCCAAAGTGGAGGTCTTTGTTGGGCCCACACAGGAGTATCTGGAGACCATCTATGGCACCAGCATTGAAGAGCAAGAGGCGGATATACCCATACGACCCTATCGTTACGATGTCGAAATCGATCGCTCTGGCATAGCCGAGATTAATCTGAAGCTACTAACCTCTGCCAAGGAGATTTGTGTTTATGGCGCTATGCTGCACATAGCTCCGAATCCGAATGGTATTACCACTCAGCAGCAAAAGCCATTTGATATACAGAAGATACAGGAGTTGCTGCAAAAAGGCGGCACGAGCGGCTCGCCCAATCAGGCCGATGAAAATGATGAGAAGTTGCAAAAGTTTCTGTGCATGATGAAAGGCCTTTCGTGCCCAGCACAGCCTAATCCAATGCCACCAGCCGCTGCCGCTGATATCAGTCCAAGTGTACAGCAGCAAGTCGACGCCAAGTTCGAGCAGCTGCAGCTCACAATTACTAAAAGACTGGATGAATTCGAAGCGCAGCAAACCGCAAAGCTGGACAGAATTATTGCAATGCTCGAAAAGAAAAACTAATTGCTGAATATTATATAAGGTATAAATATTGGGGTAATCAAAATCAAAACTAAGTTAGATATTCAATTGTGATCTTTTAATTATGTACTAAAGCCGTTTCGTCCAGTGTTGGCCAAAATCAAATACTTTTTATATTCACGAATGCTTAGTGACTTTGAAAATACCAATTTATGTATATATTTGTATATTTGCAACTATAAATGTTCATAAAACTACATTGCTTGGCATATTGCTAACAATTCTTGAGTCTTATGTTAAACTTGGCTTTGTACTTGGCACAGAATGTTTGGTCAAAGTTATCCGTCAGTTCATCCTGGTCATCAGACTTGAATTCCTGATTGAAAATGGAGAATTGCTTGTAATATAATCTTGAGCTAAAGCTGATTATACTTGCATTATCCACTGCTATGGCCGGCACCCCTCGAAAGTCCACTTGAGCCGTCGCCTCAGCATATTTCTGTAATATCTCATCCACGCTGCGCGCGCTCTTGCAGTCCTTCACAGCAGTCACATCAATGCCATATCTATTGGCGCACTTGTCTAGATTATTCTTGCGACCGCGCATCATGCAGGCAATTAGCTTTAGTGATATGTTGATGTCGTTGTGCTCCAGTATGCAGGCATGCCAGGCATTCAGCTCGCACTCGTCCTCGCCGTGCTGACAGGTCACCTCACCCTTCTCGTTCAGCTGTAGCAGCAAATGCTCATTCATATGGACGAGACCTCTAGTCGCTGCACATGCAAATCACTTACGTGGGCGTTGCCGAAGGGCACCAGGGTTAGGTTCGTGTAGTGCAGTCGATCCTTGCGCACCATCGACGGGTTCAGCTGAGTGGTTACAAAATGCATGCAGTAGGGACAGAGGGCTTCATAATAGAGCGTAATGGGCAGCTTAGGTGCATCAGCTTCATGATGATGCTGCAAAACATTATTGATTATAGTGCACCAAATCTGACGAATTTCCATACCCTGGCACTACAGGCGACAATGCCAAGGGTGAGCAGCAAAAAAACAGTAAACGACTTCATTTCGCTGATGCTGAGCACAAAGACGCGTTGACACTGAGCTTTTGAGTAAATTTGAACACAAATCAAAAACTGCAATCTGACTTTATAATCACTAACTGTATTTTCGTAGACTCACAGTGGCGTCGACTGGGGGCTCGTAAAGAAACCGCTACGACTGAAGCGTGATCTATGTATGCATCCGGCTGTTTTCATTGGTCTGCCTAGACAGGTGCCCTCTTATAAAATCTGCCTGCGCCACTGCTTCGGCTTAATCTGTCAACATTTCCTCATTCCGCAAACTGCGATAAGAGTCGGCTACAAGTCAAGCATAGACTTTTGAATACCCTTTGAGCATCTAATTAAATATTAAATTACTGAATGTTTTTAGAGGCTTGTTTCAGATTATTTTATATATAAAAAACAAAGATCTGTTAATGGAGAGGGCTACAAAGTCTCAATTTAAATCCACTCTAGGTAAAGCTCAAATAGCTGTAGGGTATGCATTATTAATCATTGCTCAGTCAGATATATGTACATATTCCTGATTCATTTACAGATTCAAACGTATTGTGTATTGTCATTACGCTTAGCTCTGATGCGTTTAATGAACTTTTATACATGTCTGTGAATTATTCAGCTGGAAGTTCTATATATTGTTACGGAAAGAGTAGTCTGTGAAGCAATAAGGGCTCAAGTTTGTGGCTATTCTGATTGCAGTTTTAGAAGAAAATACTTATATCATATTTCCTGGGGAAGATTACTCAGCTTGAATCTATTGAGAATATAGAAAAATAATATCTCACTGTGTATATAATTTTGGGTCAGTGATCGAGTTTTAAATAGTCTATTATGAGTCACATTATTTTTAGTGGACTTATAGACCCGTCATAAATGAACCATTTTAGAACTTCTGGTGTAAGTAAAAGAAACCTCTCAGAAAACAATGGATATATTTTTCATAATATGTCATGTTTTATTACTTATCATTAACACTATTACTTTATCACAAATATTTTAAGCATTTTTACATAGATAGTTACAATCATCGTGCTTACGTTGGTTTTTTGACTTATGTATTTATGTACAATGCGTCGCCCTCTTGGAGGCCCGTTGATACATGTTCGTATGCTGTTTCCTCATCTCTCATAATCTTGTTCATGATCGTAATATATGTGTGTATGTATATGTATATGTAGCACTACATGATTTCGTTTTTTGAAAATTTCAACTACTCGTACTGAATATCTACAGCAGGGGACGTTAGCTTATACACGTTGAAGGAAGGAAGTTTATGATTTTTACTTTTATCTATAGCAATACAATTTATGCTTTTTCGGGTTTTACAACTTTATATGCTTTTTTTTCTAGTTTATTCACACATTCTTAATATTTAAATTTATTTATATATTTATTTTTTAAATTACTTTTAGTTTGTTTTTCGTTAGAAATGCAATTTGTAGACCCTAAAAATCCAAATGACGATGATCAACCTTTGAACACTTATTAATTTAATAGTTTAAACATATGGGATGCATTTCTGATATGCGAACATGCCTTGATAACAATTGCCATACCTTTTCGAAAGGCATTCTCATTTCTTTTTGTTTAAAAAAATATTTATTTGAAAGCAATAGACTTTTTGAAATGGATTTTTCCAACAACTTTTTGAACTGCTTGCTAATACGACTGTCCCAGAGATTTCTTTTTAATTTTAACTAAATAATTCGTTGTATTCTCTTAACAATTGATTAACAAAAATGATATGGGGAGCTCTAGGCGGAATTTCCGGAATATAAAATAAGCTGCACTGAATGCAAATTTGGGCATCTTTAAGCATAAATCTCATTTTAGACAAAAGTGATATATTTAATTCGAAAACTGATAAATCATTATAGTGATAAGACTCCTCTCGTTTGTCTTTTAAATTAACTCTAGAAATTGTTTTATGGAATTTATGTGTGTGTTGAAGTCATGTTTATAAAATTGTCGGAAGCAGTTGGTAAATCAACAATCGGACTTTGGCCTAAGATTAATAAACCTGCTGAGTATGCTGCACATACCTTAGCTCTCTCTCCCTCTCTCTCTCTCTCTCTCTCTCTCTCTCTCTTTCTCGCTGTCTCTCTCTAGCTCAATGTTAGCCATATAAATCATTTTATTGGCTTATTAAAAACTTTTCCATTTATTGTCATCATTTTGCGCTATCGTGCGCACAAATTCATGCCCGAGTTTTCGCCCGCCCGCCAGCCTGGCCCGCAGTTCGTTTGAGTCCTTAGCCAGCTTTTATTGTGTTCCATGGCCATTCAATCGTTCGTGAGCTTATTATGGGTATCCACAGGGCGGTTATCGCATATTTTTCTAAACTTTTCTTTATTGCTCACTTGTTGGCTAGCTGACTGGCTGGCTGGCCGGCTGGACGGCTGGCCTGTTAGCCATGGCCAATGCCCAATGCCCATTAAATTCAAATCTGCCGGGCTGCTGTTCCTGGTGCGTGTTTAAAAGTTAAATAATGGCCAAAATGGCTCGTTTTTCCCCCAACTCTCTCTCTCTTTCTTCATCTCTGTTTCTCTCTGCGGCTCTCCCTCGCGCTCACTCTCTCTAAGGGACAGGCAATGGCCCACGACGTGTTCCCAATATAACTTTTTCCCATTGGGTTGACCCCCAAATGTGAAATGCTTGTTTTTTGACTTTGATCTTGGGCAGTTCAAATAGTTGCGGCTAAGTAACGGTAAAGGCTCCATTGGACAGTAAAGGATATGTTTTTTTGTTCTTTTCGTTTTTGGTAGGATATGTTCTCATTGAGTAAAAGAGGGAAAGGAAAACTTATCTTAACAACACTTTGGGGTTTGCTTGGAAGTACACAGCAAAATTCAACAAGATGATTTTTTTGGTTTTTTAATAATAGTTGCGCCTCAGCTTCAGCATCAAGTATGAATAACGGTTTATACTTAGTTTATTTTTACTCAAATTGATATTATGATTGTTTATAGGAACCCGCTTTGACGACAACTTCAGTTAAAAATATTCTTGGATTCAGATTACCAAAATCTCAGTGGAGTCAAATATATTTTCACCTTTCTTACTGATATATAAAAGTCGAATATCTCTCTTAAAGATGTACTTTCAAAGTTAACTGAAATCTTTCTTTAAGGTAATACAATTCCATTTAGCAGATGTTTATAGATGTTTTCCGGTCTGGATATGTCTTCGCCCAATATCTTGTCATAGAACCATGGATATATTCAATTACATCTGATCATACTTGATGCTGACTACCTGGCTACATATGTCTAGATATATATATAAATATGTATGTATATGTTTACAGCTAGAAACACATTTACACTAAACATGTACAAACAAACAGACACACATGCACACGAACACATACATTGACTAAATATTAAAAACTACATTAGGTCTAACAATAAGAATTGAATGCTTAGAGACACGATCGTAGAACTGTTTGCTAGTTACGAATAGTTAGTTTACTTTTTGTTTTGGTAAGTGTTTGCCCTAGCTCTATACATATATGTATGTATATATATAGATTTACTATAGTGATTTCTCATTCAACTACCTCAATTACTGCTTTTCTATTCGATTTGTGTTTCGGTTTCGGTTTTTTGTTTCTCTTGAATCTCTGTTTTCGGTTGTGCGCCAGTCTTTAGTTTGATGCCAGGATAATTCGATAGCCGCAGCTTAGACGCAGCTCTCCGGGCCGGGCAGCGTGTCCGTGATGATGTGATTGCGTCCAGCGTTCGATTTCTGTGTAATGGTGGTTAGCTGCGATGGCGAGAGGCCAGCACCGCCGGCCAGGCCTTTGGGCAGCGTCATATGCGTGCCCATCGGCGCTGCCGCGGCTGCCGCCTTGCTCAGATTATAGTCAATCAGGCTGCTGGTGGTGAGGTAATCCGCCAGGGTTAGCGGGTCCCGTCCGCGCGGCAAGCTGCCCGAGGCCATGCCGTGGGGCAGAGTGTGATGCAAATGCTGGACACCATAGTGACCGCCGCCGCTGCTGCTGCTGCCAGTGCCGTGCGCATTGCTCGTGGAGTTGGCCACGCTGCCGGCGGAGCTCAGCGTGCTGTTGCTGCCGCCCCCACCCCCACCGCCTACACCGCCGGCAGCATAGCCGCCCACATTCAGGCCCAGCTGCTCGTAGCGACTAAGCGTGGGCATGGCATCGTAGAGGAGCGGAGCAGCCGCCGCTGCTGGCGGCTGATAGCTCTTCGCTGCATTCTCGCTTTCCAGTTTCAGTGTGCTGGACTGCGAGGGCGGGCTGTTCAGGTGCGGCACATTCACGTCCTGCAATACGCCAAATGTTAGCTTGCAACGCCTTTCGCATGTGTGTGCAGGGAGCTGCAGCTACAACTACTTACATATTCCGCAGTTTTATGATTCGCTGCACCGCTGGGCGCGGCGCCGTTGCTGCCGCCCATAAATAAACCACTCTGTCGATTTCCCAACGGCGACGATGTGTCACTGCCAGTTGCGCTTTTTTGCGCATTCAGTATGTCCGGCTGCTTCTCGATGCCCTGCTTCAGCGTGTAGGCCACAACCAGGCGCTGATGCCCGGCACCAGTCTCCAGCGGTGCAGTGACCGTCACATCCATACCTGACGCATCGAATAAAATGGTGCCCAGGTTAGTTTTTGTGCCCTGCTTGGCCGGCCTATCTCCACTCTCGTCCTACTCACCCAAATGCTTGTCCTTGTCATCGCACAAATTTCGCGCTCCCTGGCACCGGCGTCGACGCACCGCAATGACAACCACAAACAACACGGCGATGCCCACGGTGAAGAGCGTTCCAGTGAGCAGCGCTGCCAGCGGCAATATGGATAGACCCATCCGTCCATCTGCAAGTGCAGAAGGGAAAAAAGACAGACAATATGTAAACGACGAGCAATTTATGCAAATGATTGAAAAACAGAACGGATTTACATTTACATTTAGTTACGGATTTTCAGAATTCTATTTTCCTGATATAAAGCAAATATTAAGAAAATTTATAGATATTTAAAAAATTGGGTGGTCCAATATTTTTGTAGTATTATTCTAATCATATTATTTTGGTTTA